TCCTGCTGCTGGGGAAGAAGGAGCATGGGTCGCACCATCTCTCTCCTACAGCGACGAGAACTGGGCTAGCCACTGCTGTGAACGTGGAAGAGGAGCTCGTGGAGGAGTAAGAGGCTCCTTATGCCCAGGACGCATGTGAAAATGTGGGCAGTCGGCCCTCGGCACTAGCGGCTGGGCAGTAAGAAACAGATCTGCTCAATCCTGCCTGATTTAAAAATGAGCCAGCTCAGCTGTGTGCTTATCGTGGTGTCTTCTCAGTCATTTTTGACTGTGGTCAGAATTAAACACATGAGGACTGTCCAAAAGCAGTTTTTATCTGTAAACTGATTTGACATGCCGCAGTTTCACACATCCAAGCAACTCAAAAAGCTTTTAGGGAAAAAAAAAACAAACAAATGGGAGAAGGGAGACAGGAGCTCTCTTACCTTGGTACTGGGAGGGAGACTCTGACGGGCGGCTGTACTTGTGCTTCTTACCATCTTTCCAGTCTATGGCTGAGACAAGAAATAAAGCATTTGTGTCAGTGAAGGAAGACCAGCTAATGCACTCTTCAACATTATCTGCTCATGTCACCTGCTTTGCAGGCACCTCAGAGGAGAGGAGTGACCTCCCTGTCCTCCCCTGTCATGACCGCAGGTAACATGGATGATTTGTTTAAATCTATGGGGCGTGCTCCCTTCCTCCACACAGCTCAGGAGAAGACCTAACACGAGGTATCTGCATTTGCATCTTAGTCTCTGCCTAGTCCTCACCAACTAGTGTTCTCCCACAATGGCAAGCAATAACGGGACTGGCTGGGCATCAGTCGGCGGGTGGTGAGCAATTGCATTATGTATCACTTGCTTTGTATATTCTTTTATTATTATTATTATTATTACTATTTTATTTTCTTTCAATTATTAAACTGTTCTTATCTCAATCCACAAGTTTTCTCACTTTTACTCTTCCGATCTCCCCCATCACACCAGGATGGGGGAGAGTGAGCGAGCGGCTGGGTGGCCGACTGAGGTTAAACCATGACACGTAAAAAGCAGCAAACTTCATCATTTTAACTACGTGAAGAGGTGGCAGGGCTTGAGAGGAACAAATGCGAAAGCCACTAAAAATGGCTCACGTGGATCTTGTATGCTGAGAAGTGAAGCCTGAATCACTCCTTGTTTATCAACTCCAGGCTACTGCAGCCAGCCTTACTCACACAAACAGCCTCGACCCTCTCTGGTGATGGGGAGAGGACTTCTCCCAAAGTCTGCACAACTGCCCTTTCCACGCACAACACCGGGTTACCACCACACGTCCTGCGCAGCTCATAGGAGAGCACAGCAAAGTAGCACCAGCTCTGAAGAACATCTCATCTGAGTTGTCTTTGCTCACGACAGCTTTGGGCCTCAGAGTTGCGAAAAAATAACGTTCCCAAGACAGCTCTGGAAAGTGATAGAGCAAGAAGCGGGGGATGCCCATCCCTGCCTCAGGCAGCCTCCAGCCCGACGGAGGGATGCCAGATCAGCATGCCACTGCAGAGCCCGCCCTGAGCGAGCCCCTCCAGCCACTGCTGCCTGACCGGCGCACCCTGGGAGCGCTGCTGCAGTCCAGCTCATTTATTTTACAAAGGATTTTTAGGGCTATTATAAACAACAATTTGGTAGTGCTCTACGAAACGCACCCTACCTCCGCAAAAAGCAGTTCCTTGTGAAAGAAACAAAAAAGAAAACAGGAAAAGTTTTGAAATCTCCTGACAAGTGGCTGAAAGAGGCAGGCCATGAGCTGCTGCTAGAGTGGCCTGGTGGGTCCTAAGATGTCTGAAATTGCTTTTGGACCATTATTTTTGCAATCTTCTCTTCCTGACATGTTCTCTTCAATATAATGGACAGGAGGACTGCATGTAGGTTTTATCCCTTAAATGAACATAAGGGACATATGGAGTGTGGCCACAGCATCACTAGACATGAACCAGACAAAGAGCCTCCTTGGAGAGACACAAATGAATGAAAAAGCTGGAAGGGCACCCTTCCTATAAATGTATTCCCATGAAGGACAGTGTTCTGCCATCTCCTTAAGAAAGCAAGAAGAAAGGACACAAAAGTATTTAAGTCAGAAGCAAAAAAGCCCCCCAGGGTGGGTAACGCTCCTCTCAGCGTTGCAGAATAGCTCTAATAGCATCCTTGCACTCAAAGTAGCCTCTCGCCATACTCTGCAGGTGAAGTTACATTTCATTCTTAACCTTTAACATGCAAAAATCCTCATTAAGCAGGCTGCAAAAGCAGCAGAGAGGGAAAGAAACACAAGAATTTCTGCAGGCAAATAAAGAAAAAGTTCAGTGCATCATTAAAAAAGCAGGTAAGTAGGACAGAAACCCACGTGTGCACGATGCAGGTGTTGCTTCTGCAACCTACGGCACGGCATTCACAGCACAGGTCACACAGCCACGCTGGCTGGAGGCTCCCTGCTCCACGAGGCAGAGAGGACAAGCTGTGTGCGAGGCTAAATTCAGCCAGCCCCATCCACGGCCACGCTGCTGACTAATCAACCTGCCTCTTTTATTACCAAGCCCTCCAGCTGCCTCGCAGCAGGCTCTCCCCATTCACTGCTTTCCTTCATTTATTTTCACTTCATTAAAGGACAAGCAGTGTTAGGAAGAGGATAATGCTTCTGTAAGATGAACCACCAGCGAGGCAAAGGAGACGTTTAAAAAAAATAAAGGGAGGAGAGAAATCAAGCATAGAAATCTCCTGCAATAAACCTTGTGAGCGTGTAGCAGATGTGAACAAAGAACTGCGGAGGATGTTCCATCCTCTACGCTTCTCCCTTCCCCCATCCTCCGAAGCGCATGTGATGAGATCACTCCAGTCTAACACACATGCATGGCACAACACTAAAGGAAATCAATATTTTTGTTAAGTGCAAGTCGTCTGAGCAGCTCGGCTGCAGGCAGCCTGCTTGACTTCACCCTTTTTGCTGGGGCAAGCAGGACATGGGTAGCATGCGTGTGGTCGCCCTGAGCACCACGGATGCCGCTGCGTGTAACAGGACAAGAGACTCAGGCGGTGAGAGGTAAGTGTCCGTAACAGATTTCATCTCCACAAGGTAGGCTGGTCTTTGGTTTCACGCCTCATTAGAAGGGGGAGGCTTGTGCCAGCAGAGAAGCAGTTTGCCTCACGCTGGGAGCACTAGCAGATGGTGCGTGCCGCGGGCTCCGCAGAGCACCCTCACCACCTGACACTGTGCCCCACAAGCTGCAGGGGTGCACCCAGCAAGGGACTCTTCCTCTGCCCATCTTGGGGGTGGATTGATGAAGCCTTCTCTGCATGCTGCCAGAGAAATGAATGCTCTGTTTTGAGCATGCAACCAGCGTGTCCCCCAGACTCCCACCCCATCGTCAGCCTCCCAATGCGCTGCGCTTGGTCCTTCGGTCCGCACCAGCTCGCTACTGGGCCTTTGGCCATGCCAAGCATCACTGCTCACCTTTCTGAGGGCCTGGTTTCCGCATTATATCACCTGCTGCTGTCCTTATCCTGGGACTGGCTTGCTTTTAGATAACTGAAGATGTCTAGGACAAAAGAAATAAACATGAGAAAATTCCCCCATTCTGGAGCACACAGTCATCTGCAACATTAACTAATCACACAGCGGGTAGAAAATAGATGCTCTTTCACCCTGGGTTGCACAGAACATCTACTGAACACAGACAATTCATCTCAACATCCCTGAAACTACAAGTCTTTCTCCAATATGTGGACAACTTCAAATTTACGGCAGCGGGGACGGCATAAATAAGCAAGAGGAGCATATGCCAGTCTCTGTGCTAACTCTACAGTGCGTCCCGAGTGTGTGCGTGGAAGAGGGGGGCTGCTCTTGCTCACTAACAAAGGGAGGCAGAGCTGAAATTTATGAAAGAAAACACATGGAAACATAACATTAACTCTGGCAAAGCAGCACCGCAATCCCCAGCTTGCCACTTGCAATTCAAATTGCTCGCAGCAGTTCTGGGTAATAAGGATGAGAAATTGGACAATGACCCAGGAAATATTTTTGCTATTAGTACTGCAACGAATGTCCAAGTTGCGCTGCACTTTTTTTTCCTGGTTGGAGGAAAACTGGCTGGACTGTCCCCAGAAAGAAAAAGCATTTGCATTCTTGTTATAAGCAAACGTTACTGAAAATCAGAGCTCTTGGGAGATGCATGCCGGACCCGTACACGGAGACCGGTGCTCCTACACGGCCGGTCTCGCAGGGCAGTGCCTCCTGTATGCACTGAGCCTTGCCAAGCCCTGACAGAAAATATCTAAATGAATGGCTGAGCTGCAAACAAGCCCTTAGGAAAGCTAGTAAAAGCATGTTTTGACACTACACTAACTAATGAAAGATTAATTGTGTCAATATAACTCCATTTTGTTCACAGTGGGGCAGGCAGGCTGGAGGACGTAAGAGGAAGCCGTCCCAGGACACAACGCTGAGTTTCTGCTTAAAGGGTTATTTACAGATCCAACTTGGCAAGAAGTTTTGATTTTGAAAACCAGGCTTTTTCCAAACCTAAGAGAAATGAAGAGTTTAATCTTCTATAAAAGCACGACAAACTACAGCCTTTACATGCAGTGCTTGCAACATTGAGCAATACTCTGAGAAGGAAAATACTAAAGGAATATTAAATACTAAAGGAAAAAAAACCCTAGTTGTTTTTTAATCCAAATCAAAAGGTACACAGTAGTCTCTTATTGCCTCTCTCATAAATAGCGTGTGTGTTTGTGCATACTTGTGAAAGGAGTAAAGTTTCTTTTCCTTTCAATAGTGGAAGGTAATCTACACGCGAAAGCTTATTTACAACTTTTAATGCTTCTTTTCATAATTTTCTTCAGTCATTTTTATTAAAAGCTAGCAGTCATGGTAGGAAAAGTCCCCCAGCCATAAAACCCAGGCTGAAGGTGTTGTATAAAGGCACTAGACAAGCATTCACCATCTCTGGCTCTGCACCTCTGCTGTCTGCTCGGCTCCCCCGGATGCGGGACTGTCTGAAGTACCTAAATGCTAATCATAAATCTCAGGCGTCTGGCACGGGACGGGTGCTCCTGTGCCACTCAGACGGCTTTTGAAAAGCTGCTTCAGCCTGAGCACTTCAGAGCCCTACCTGGCAGGGATGTGTAACCCTTCCCCGCAGACGTATTTCGAGGAAAAATTCATGACCATGTATGAGATGCTCAGGTACGATTTGTGGAAGGCTGCAGCTCAGGAGGAGAGGTGAAACTACTGCACCCTCCATCCTCGCGCTGACGGCAATGGGATTAACCCTAACTACTTGTAAAGCACACAGATGACTGCTGGTGTCCTGCAGCCAACACTGTAGTGGGCTCCCAGCAAGATCTCATGTCGTGGAAGAGAATGAGACATTGTAAATGTTGCGCCTATTTAAAAAAAAAAAAAAGTGACTCTTCCCCAGAGGAGAAGACTTAGGCTGCATGGGGACTCCCACTCTGCTGAGAGCCATGTGGGTGCCAGCCTGGAGACAGCGCGCTCCAAAATATGCTTCCAACAAACTGTCCAAATGAGATGGCCCCAGCCTGACTCCTGCCACCCTTCACAGTCCTCCACCGCGGCTTTGCACCATCCAGCTCCCCTGTACGGTCTCACACCACAGGACAGCAACATGTGGTTTCATCCTGCAAAATCATAACTCAAAAATGAAAAAAAAAAAAAAAAAGCTAAATAATGACTGTGCTTCAGGGCCATGTTAACGCCCAGAGAAGAGCCAGAGTCAAACTTCATGATGCACAGCTTCAGCCTGCCTGCCCCGGCAGCAGCTAGCCCTGCGCAGCGCAGATATGAACCACCAGCCTCACTACATCCAGGGACAGGGGCCCGTCCCTGCCTGCTCTTCTTTAGCCATGGAGACATAGCCCGTGTACCCCAGCCCTCCTGAAACTGGTATAAAGTGGGTTTTACTAACACAGGGCTTGGGAACTGGTAATTCCCACTGGCTGCAATTTCATTCTGTAGCTGCCCAGAGAAGCTGTAAAATGTCCATCCTTGGAGATACTCCAAGCGTCACCAGCTACCACCCTGAGCAGCCTGATCTAACCTTGAAGTTGAGTCTGACCTCAAAGCCAGCTCTGTGTGCGGCTGGGGGGGCTGGACCAGACAACCTCCAAAAGTTCCTTCCAACCTGAAATACCCTATGATTTTATTTCACTGACAACTGATTGGAAGGCAAGCGGAATTGCCCTATAGGCTTTAGCAAGCCTGAAACACCCCAGTGAAGAAGACTGGGTCGTCTTCTCTCTAGACTTCAGTCTAGAGAGAAGAAAGTGAACGGCAGAACAAGCAAGCTAACAGGCACTGCAGGACAGGGAGAAACATGGATGTATGTGGTCTTTACACTGTTCGGGGACTGAAGACTAAAAAAAAAAATCTTAAAGTAATAAATAGCAGAGGCTACAGTTTGGTATCCAAGGGGGAAAAATGGGCAATCCACACAGATAGATCTTCCTGAATGACCTTAGACACAAACATGCCTCTGATGAGAACTTGTCAGCTGGGTCAATGACACGAAGGAGACAATCTTACTTTTGCATCAAATAAAGCATTCAAGATTTACATAGCCCAGCACATGCTGCAATACTCCATCTCCAGAACCTGACAGTTGTACAAAGCTGCATACCAGAGTTAAAACTGTCCTCTTTTTCAAAAGCTGCATTTCTCATGCTTGTGGATATCAAGATAATCTTGCAAGCACAGACCACAGTTTTACGTGGTGTTGGTTTCCAGAATCTATACCCTGAAAGGACAGATCAATGTGCAAATTCATTTCAGCAGTTTGCTACCTTAAAATCTAAAAAGGCCAACTGATTTGCTGCCTTTTGTAGCAGATAAAGTGCCTTTCCCACAGTTTCAAACAACTTCCACTCACCGAGATATCAAAACTGCCAACGGCTCCACTGAACTGTCATGGGCTCTAGTTCCCCATCATTCCTACAAGACAGCAAAGTCAGTACAAATACTGCGGCATATCAAAACCTGAAAGCATAGAGACAAAATGAAAAAGTTTGCATTTAATTGCAGAAAGGCTAGGTTACCAGTTGCATTATTCATGTTCATATTTAATTCATTTAAAACATCCAAATTTAAATTTAAAGACAGCTGCAACAAACATTCCCTCTTGCCATAGCAAAGCAGTGCAGAACTTGACACAATTAAGTTCAGCTTGCAATGAGTACACGGGACCGCAGCTGCTAAACACCTTTGATATGAGTAAGATCACATCAACTGAGTTGATATAAACTAGTTCAGCTTTTGTAAAATGAAACTATCACACAAAGAAGGATTTAAAAGACTAGAACTGATTAGTAATAAAAAGGAGAGAGACCACAGGAGAGGCATATAAAATAATGAATAGCATGAAGGGAGTGAACTGGGGTCTCCAAATTATCCCTTCCACAGTGCAGCAGGGCAAACCTATAATACTAAAAAATCCCATGTATATACCAGGGAGAGGGAAATTTTGTTTATTGGAAACTAACAGACATGCAGCTTTCTCAAGGAGGATGTTATCAAAACAAGTAAACAAGTAACACTAAAAAAGGACAAAGACATTCAAAAGCAAAACAGTACTTATAACCGTATCAAAGTATGAAATGCACAGGCCATTGTTACTCACACCTCAAGCAAAAGCTGACTGAAAGGTGGGGAGACTAGCCAAATCCTGCCCACCACATCACCGCATTAGCTGCTGCATTTTGGCAAGGAAAAGCCGAGCACTTGCCTTCCTGCCAGGCTGCTGGCACTGGGTTGTGGCCAGAGGCAGGACACCAGCTTGAGACGTGGGTTTGTTAGCACCCCAGTGACCCCCTGCATTGGTTTACACTGAGATTTACACCTCAGATGCATTTTCCCTTTTCTTGTTCAAAAAATAAAGGCAGCACAGAGGCAGCCAGGGCTGGGAAGAGCATCCCAGGGCATCCCCAGCTCAGACTGCTGCTCCCTCCGACAGCCACACCGCACAACCCTCAGCACAAACATCGCCAAAATGCATCTTAATCTAATTAAGTTCTCTCCCCCACTGCTCTTACCAACAGGCTCTTCCAAAAGCTCATCCTTATCATCCCTAAGGGGAGAATGATTCAATTTACCTGTGCCAGATTGGAAGGGACCTTCAGGGTTATAGGGCAGCCTGCTCTGCAATATTCTTCCACTAAATGTTGCAACTGCAATGTCAGTAAGACAAGAAGTGAGAAAATGTGGGTGGAAGATACTGTCACAGCTGTACAGACCTCATAAGATGCATGTAATCTCTTTATCTACAAAGCCTCCACTCCTTCGGAGTGCATAATTATGAAAAGAGTTAAAGCTGAGGTTCTTAATGTCTCTTCTAGGCACTTCTTTATTCCACTAAAGGCACCACTCGCATCTGAATTATTTCCTGGGGTTGTTTGGACTTCCTATTATACGAGGAAGATTATGGTGAACCTTGGGATGGAGGCCAAGTCAGTTCACAGCGCTACCATGTTTGATTGAATGGGTAACTGAAATTTTGTTGACAGTGTGCCAAGCTTCAAACCTCTTTGGACAATGCAGTTGCCAGCAGGCAAGATGTTTTCAGAAAGAAAAGGAAGAAAACTACCAACAGCGAAGCTGAAAAATGGTTTTATTAGGTCGGATACATACCCCACAGACTAGGATTGTGGAAAAAAAAGAAAACCCTGCATATTGCCAGAGGACTGTGAGAATGACGATTCTTGGAAATCCCATGGGACAGCAACAGGAGAATCCTGATGGTTTCTCATAATGCAAAATGCCTGCAGTCATTGATTTTCTTCCCCACAAAAGCATGGGTCTTGAGCACCACGACCAGTCCAGCTAGTAAAAATCCCTTCCACATAACCTCTGCTTCAACTGAGTTTTTTCTTCACGGGTATCTTTCCATCAAACACTATTAATGTTTCCAATAATAAAGAGCTATCCCTTACAAATTCACTTGGGAAATGTGAAGGCAGCATTATCCGTTCCTGCCCATCAAGGGTGATGAAATGTCAGTGCTGCCATTCCAGCTTCCCAGCTGGAGGCTCAGGCTGTGCCGGGTCCTGTTTCCGCACCATTCTGGAAGCCCACACGTGCACCACGGGTTACGCAGGAGCATCCAGTTGCATCCCGACCCAATCAGAAAACCAGGCACAGAAACATGATGAGCAGATGCATATAACCACCTCAGCCTGCTCATTTAACATCTTTTTTTGCCATTTTTTATTTCTATGGTGGAGAAAGAAAGGCACTTTTAGCCTACTTGAGAAATTAGAGGACTGCCAGCATGTGATTTGAAACACCTCTTACCTCTTTTGGTTTTCACACAGGACTTAGATCCTCAGATTTCTGCCTGACCTGTGGACACCATAACTTTTGCTGGTCTAAAATCATGGTTTTCCCCCTGAAAGTGTGCTCTGGTGAGCCAGCTGACTGACCCCCTCTTCTGGGTAGAAGCCAACAACCAGCAGACAGCTCACAGCACCACTCTGAACACCAACCTCCTCGGAGCCAGCCACAACCGACAAGGAGTCCTAAAACAAAATGACAAGCAAATGCTTACATGGGACCTGAAGGAAACTCTCAAGGGTGAGTAGCTGCAAAGTTTGAAGAGGTGAGTCAGAACTTATCTTGACCAACAGGTCTATTTCCTTCCACTTCCCTGTTATCGTCCTCCTGGACAAGACTGGAGTTCTATTTCTCCTTGTCTGTGCAAAGCCATGTTTTGGCAGCTCCGAACAAAGGCTGATGAAGCTACAGCACTTCTGAAAGGCATCTCTCCTCATTAGGTCTTGAGGGTCCTTACGTTCATACCAGGAAATTTTTCAAAGAAACACTGTAACAATGAATGTTGGTATTTCCATCTGGAGTGCTGATCCCCTTGTGTGATCTGAAATACCCGATGGCTGCAAACCATTACTCCTCTTTCTACCAGAAGGATTTTCTGTCATTTCTAACATCTCTCTCTCTCTGGAACTAATTTTATCTTTCTACCATGTAAGAAGTGGACTGATAAACTCCAGACTTCACGACTGGCTCCTCAGAAACACATTCTTGTGAAAGATGTTAAGACACTGAGGTGTCTCGAAGATGTGATCACGAGCAACACACTTCCTTAGCCCCTGAGCCAAGTCTCAGGGGAGAACATATTTTAAAAGAGACAAAAACATATAAAAAACTTGGATAGACCATGTCTCTGCAATGAAAATATCAACTTCATGACTTCCTTTTGAACACCTTCAGGTTGGAGGGGAGAGGAGATGGGTCAACCTCCTAGCAAATGACAGCTGGATCATCAGACACTGCTGAGTCGAGCTCAAGGGAAAGCCAACCGCTCAGGATGAGGGTGAAATCCAGGCACCACTGGAAGGAATCACTCACCACCGCGAGGGAGGCTGCAGCAGTTACCACCTCTCATGACTGCGGAGGAAATGAAATAAAACCTTGCAGGATTCCAATAAAGCTTTCCTTCTCTCTCAAAAAAAAGCCAGCACGGGCCTCAGCTCAAAATAGAAACATCTTGCCATGTATCACTGCGAGCAAACCTTGCTCTCCACAAAGATTCAAGAGGTTGCAATAAAAACTACATTTGGCATGCTCCAGGAACAGGATACCCAGCCTGTCTGTTTCTGAGAGAAACAGAGAGAGGAAAGGGCTTTAAAAAAAAAGCCAGGTGAGATAGTCTGGCTTGAGTCTGCTAAGAAGCCTCTTAACATGTTGAATTTTCTCAGTACAGACTTTTCTGCTGATGAGCTGGGAGTTAAAGCCAGCCTGCTCCATGTCTGCCATTTCTGTAGCGATGGGAGTGAGCACTCTGGCCCTTCAAATCCTCTTTAGAAAGACAGGGATTGACTGCTGTAAGAAATTCACACACTGTTGAAAAATCCGAACTGCTTTTGTTTTAAGAGTGGTGTTGCTTTGCTTCTTAAAAAAGCCCCACACGAATAGAAAGAAAACAGTGCAAAACCTAAAGCCTCCCCATGCAGGGCAACATAGAATCATAGAACGGTGTGGATTGGAAGGGACCTTAAAGATCATCTAGTTCCAACTCCCCCTGCCGTGGGGCAGGGATAAACATCAAGCAGAGGATCCTGTGTTGCTCCTCCCCGAGGCAGTACTGCGTTCAAGGCTTGGAGCAAAGACCTGGGCTGCCTTCCATTGCCAGGGAGACAGGGAATGGCCCACCACGAAGACTGGCTGATGTGGCATAGACTAAAGCTAATCATACAAAACCAAACCCCTGTCATTACAGTTGGGGTTAAGGAAGCTTCATCATGCTCCAGAATTATTTCAGCAGGTCCCTTCATTGCTGGTCCTGCTGCTGAACTGACTTTCAGGCTTTGCATCGCTGTTGCTTCCCCTTGGGTGAGCAATGCCCAATGTGTACCACATCCCAACGTGAATGAGGGCACCAAGACCATGGCTCACCATAAATGTTCTGAAGGAGCTTTGGGAAAAGCAGCAGGTCTCTGTTTCTGGATGTTAGGCAGGGACATTTCTGACCTGTACCACCACTGCACCTCCAGTGGAGCTCTCCCAAATGCACTGTAACAGAAACCAACACAGAGGACTGACATTTTGGGCAGGTGAGGCACCTTTTACATGTAGAAAACCGAGGAACTGATGGACTTACCAAGTGCTCCATAGGAAGAAAGTGCCAAAGCAAGGAATTGAATCTGTGCCCTAGGCTTATGTTTCTGCCACTGAACCATCTGCGTTATAACTATTTGGTGTCAGCAGGACTCACACGGTCAAAAGTTAAAGTTTTCTGCCTTCAGAAGAGGAATGACTTGGGCTACAGCAATGGAAGCTATCTAGAGTGGCATGCCAGTGTACCCAACACCCAACCCACAGAGGTCACCTTGAAGTAGAGGAGAAAATTTATCACACATGTGGCAGGCACTCTGTGGTCCTGACCCCAGCGTATTCTGACCAT